CTGGGGCAGTTATGGTCGGGCTTGGAAGATTAGATGACCTCCCCAACAAGCCCAGCATCAAGGCAGCAAAGTTAGTGAGACCAGTTCCCCAGTGGGAGCGCTCTTTGTTGGAAAAGGGGAGGGGATAGAGAGTGACATCACACCCCCTCCACTCTCTTACACAGATACAAAGCGCCCACCGCATGTCTGAAGGGGGAGGAACAGCTGTGATGGTAACAGCGACATGCTGCTCAGGGGAGGACAGAGAGTCAGCCTGAACAGACTGAAATGGAAGGTAAGATGGGGCAGAGATAGCAGTGTAGGCACCAGAGGAAGATTTGGGGAGAAGGAGGATAATTTGAAGGAATTGGGGGCATGGTGAGATACAAACAAAGGATGATTGCAAAATAAGTGAAGGGGGTTGCAAAGTTTGTGGCAGTCAAGGTAGTAGGAGAACAGAGCGCAACAGCAGTGAAGAAAAGAGCTAAATTTGTGAAATAGGCGTTTGGGTTTGCGGGAGAGCGTGGTTATAAGGGTATTAAAGTAGTTTACTTTTGCAGAGGAAAGAGCCAAACTGTAGGAGCCCAGCATAAATGTTGGAGATGCCACAATGTCTAGTTGTGAGGAGAGGGTGGAGTTGCAGTGGGAGGCTGCAGAGCTAGGGCAGGTGAGGTTTGAGATGGGTAAAAGGAGAGTTTGGAGGTTGTTGGAGAATTGCTGTAGGTCATGACAGTGGAAGTTTCTGCGAGATTGATGAGCTGAGGATGGTGTAATTTGGGTATGGGGTATACCAATGTCAAAGGTCAGAAGATGGTGGTCAGATAGAGGAAATGGAACATTGGAGAGATTGGTGAAGATGAGATCAAGAGTGTTTCCTTCTGTATGAGATTGCATGCGGCTGAAGGAGGAGGTTACAGAGAGCAGATGAGAGGTATCAGGGCAGTTGGGCTTGTTGATTGGGGTATTAAAGTATAAGAGAGGAGTGCTAGAGGAGAGCACGTGTGGTAGCCTATTAATGTGTGTGTTTGTTATGTGTCTTGTCAAGCACTAACATTAGTGAGTCCATTATATGCTTTTATTATTAAAAGAATTGAAATAATACCAGGAATTAGGAAAACCTTGCCTTTAAAGACAAATAAATAAAATGTAATTATACATGAATATTTCTGGTTTAAAGAACCAACCTGTAGCTCATTCCACATAAATATCAAATGTGTCCAGTAGAGGGTGCACTTTAAGCACTCTAAGAACAAAGAATAAAACATTCAATACATTTACATAGTAGAACAAGTTGAGAGAGACTCAATGTTTCACACATCTTTGTAGTTGACTCAGAATAAGATTTGGGTTTTTACTCCTTAGTTTATGTCTCGTATAAACATTATTGGTGCATTTTCCAGACATTTGGTTCATATATCTAGTGAGAAAAAGTAGCCAATAGAAGTAAAAAGAGGAGGAGCAGTATAAAAAAAAAAATCTATACTTATATATTTATTAAATATACATAAATATGGATTTTTTTTACACCTCTTTTTTTCTTATTATTGGTAAATTTTCACTTGATCTGTGAATAAACTCAACATTGATTGACTGTCCCTTAGTCCTTAATAATCTATATTATTAAGATTATCTCTTTACCTTACATTACATTACAGCGTAATGTAGTTGTTCTGGTGAGTATAATAGCTCCCTTCAGGCAATTTCATGTAAACACTGCCTTTTCTGAGAAAACACCTCCAAGTGGATACTCCATAGATGGCCACTGGAGGGGCTTCCTGGGTCAGTGCTGCACAGTAAGCAGCCCTGCCATTCAGCGTCCCCACACTCTGCATGGAGACGCTGAATTTTCCTCATAGAGATGCACTGATTCAATGCATCTCTATGAGGAGGTGCTGATTGGCCAAAACGGCATTTGTCACTGTTTAAAAAAAAAAAAAACATATATACATTAAAAACAAAAAATGAAGGCATTGCATGCCACCTCCCCCTTAGGCTTGGTTTTGTTTGCCTTGCAGCAAATACATACCTGCTCACATTGCCCATAAGCCTGATAAATGCAGATACAAAGTTATATTAGTAAACAGGGTCAAATAATGATTTACTTGATTATCCACCAAGAAGGATCCTATTTTGTCCAGGAATAATATCTGCAATATAATAGATTTGATGGTTTGGAGTTGATAGGGGTAGGTCCTCACACTGATTGAAAGATCATTAATGAATGAAGGGAGTGCTGTAGTGGTTATGGTGCTTGGAGTGTTCCTTTAGGGTGACAGGGTCACACAAAAAAGTTTTTAATCTTACAACAAAGATCTTAGAGGAACTCAGTAGCTTGCCCTTCGGTTAATCCCTGCTCAGGTCTCAAAATATTTTTGTTCACTTGTGCCATTACAGATAGTTCTGGACTTCCCTTGTGGGTGGGATTGGGCTGATATGCCCATTCTCAGAGTTCTTATATTCTCTGTTTTAGTTGCAATGCAATTGCTTGGGCTCTTCCTAAGCTTAAAGGGTAATTCAGATGTGTTCACTCTACCTGATGTGGACCAAAGGGTTGCTGTATCTCTTGTGCAGAGAGAACTTGTTGGTATTTCGGTTCTGGACTGCCTTTATGAGTTGGATCAGTCTGTTATGCAAATTCTCTTGACATGCGCACTGTCCTATCACGGCATATCTATAACCCATTACCCAGACCCCAATAAACCACAGACACCAATTCCTACTGTTGGAATTATTTGTCCACAACTTTATTAAATATGTCATGAATTATAACAATTAGGATCATTGCCAACAACCATCACGGCATTTTAAAACCATAATCCCCCCATACATAATCTCCCCTGGCAATGACCCACCAATAAACTGTATATAACAGTTAATAACACATAACATGGCTGTCCATACGGCCCCATTTCCAATGAAGAACTGCAGAGGTGTACCGAGACACCCCTAGACCACCAGTTTCGGAGCCACCAAAGAACTCTAGCATACCAATCAAGTAAACTCCTGCTTAAATCACCTAAGACCTATCCATGTCCCACTTCCTACTCCATGTAGCTCCCAATTTAACCTTGCCATTCCCCACCGATGTGAAGAAACAGGGAACACTATCCCCAATGAGCTACCCAAAAAGGGGAGGGTGGGTGGGACAACTAACAGGTATGTGCAGATTTGATTAAGATGGCTGTGTTATATATGACTGGACTAAAACCCCGCCGCCTCCATTATCCTTCCCACTTAACTCTTCCCAATGCCTAACTCCTGGCCCTGTCAAGGCCCATTCCCCTGCTGCGCTGTTCCATGGGCTACATTGTAATGGCAAGTGTCAGCAAACACATTCTTGAGATGTGATTTTTGTTTAAATCAGATTTTTGCTTAAAATCACATATCTTAACATACAAATATGGGAAATTAACTGCAAAATCTAACCATGCCTTGTTTTAGCCCACCACCCACCCAAATATTGGTGGGACCTACTCTAATTTTAAGAGGAGAGATAAACATGCTAAGTACAATACTTACTGCTTACATTGTTCCAATCGCTGAATACTGCAAGGAAAACGGTTAAAAGAAAATCGTGTGCTGTTAGTTTGAAATAACCCAAACAGAAGAAGGAAAATATTGTACATACTAGTTCATTCTGACCACATATGATTCTTTGCAGGAATGTGGATTAATGGCAAACGTGTTTAACTAAGAAATCAAAGCATGCTGGTAGATTAGGCCCAGGTTACTCACTGCTACAGGAATTGCGCAGTAGGGGTAGGCAACCTTTTAGCAGCACTGTGCCAAAACAAGACTTTGTAGTCCTTTGTCCATAGTTCTTTATTTTTTTAAATTAATTTCTGTGTGCATTGCTGTATGCTGCTTGTGTTATGTATGAGGGATACAGCTGCTTTGTAGGGTTGTATTTGTGCGTATGTGGCCAGTGTTAGAATGTGCATGAGCAGATTGTGGTACAATTGAGATATTTGTGGTACCCATCCAAGACACATTGCCAGGGCACACAGTCATACATTGCCACATGCACATACACACATTCACACTGCTAGAAAAAAAACAGACTGCAAGACACACACTATGCAGCACACACTACTATACCACACATTGACAATGCTGCTATTTTTAGCCAACCCTTCCTTGCTTACCATTTATCAGCAGGAGATGGATTCCCTGAGGTTCAATTAATACTGGCCTGACCAGGTACAAGGCAAGGGTTAGTGTTTCGGCAGGCTTCTCTACTTTCGCATGGTTACACCTTCACAAGCACTGAGAGGAAGGATCACTCACTCCAACTAGTGAATTGAGGGCTGCCCATCTCCAACCAATGCAGTTGTACACTAGGAGATATCTGAAGACCTCCGTCAGGCCTTCTCTACCTCTGCGTTAATTATCCTCAGATCTCCCCAGCCTACTTGGGTCTGGCAGCCTTACATGGTACCAAAGGCACCTCTCATGCTATGCACAGCTGAGCCCTGGACTAGAGAAAAGGGAATACCATCCTGAAATGACAAAGCGAGAGTCTGTCCTGCCTGAGAATTTTTTACGGGTTATACAATTAGCAATTTCCTGGTCAGTTCTCCACAATTCTCTGTATTGGGAATAATGTATGTAATAGGAGTAGTGACCCACCTCAGCTACTGAAGTGTTTTCCGTCCCTGTGCATTTGTTTAAATTATTTTCTTTTGTTTCCAAAGATATGATGTTTATTAATGGACTTTGTGTTTGTATATTTTGATGTTTGTTGGTTTTCCAACCACAAATTTGTTTCCTGTTGTAAAAACACGGTAGTTCCTGTACATCAATTATTTATACTTGAAGTAGAGGAAAGAACATGATGTTTGATTATCAGACTTAACTACAGATAAATTAGTCATTTTTATCAAAAACAAATGGTTACGATATTCAACTCTGCAAATTCCAAAACTGTAGCAGGAAAGGCCCCCCTGCTCTTATCTGGCAAAATAGTCTTCCTCTGTGACCTGTTTTTGAGATATCCATATTTATGCATCCTGTTTGCTACTTGTAATGTAATGTGGGCTCCTGAATCACATATAGTCCAAAAATTAATATAAGCCATAACTTACTCTGTAACTTTCAGCTGCTGCACAGAAGGTTCCAGAAATGTATTTTAACTGGAATGTGCTGGTATATAATTTTTAATGTTCTATTAATATTACACTGCAATGCATGGTTTCTACAGATATAAGTTTTCATACAAGTAAATGTTGTGGATCCTAGTTAATTAAACCCTACAAAGATGTTATATGTTCTGCCAACCACTGATACACAATTACTGATTTAAAACAGGCCGTTGTAATTGTTGGTCCCTGTCTTACCATCTGGGCTTTTACCTAGACTTTAACTGGGGTCCATGACGTAACTCATTAGCAGGGAGTTCTAAGCTGATGCTCTCAGCCAAGGAACTGGCCCTAAACTGCAGGGCTTAGCTCAGTTGCGATAATAGAAGCTCCTTTAAAAGCCATCCGGGCTCCGGAGGAAAAGGTAGGTGACCGTCAGACACCAGGTAAGTAGACACAACGTTCGCAAGCGGTTTGACTGTTTACCCGGTTGGCATCACAACCCCTACAGCGCTCTTATAGTGTTCCGTCAAAGCACAGTATATGTATTTTATTACTGGCCAATAAAATCTTAGGGCTTTTTTGTTCAATAGCACATTGTGAATGCATACCCTGAGTTGGCCACCATGACTCTTGGTTAGTGCACCACAAATGCATGCCAGGCTCCCACACAATGTCTTAGCAGATTATATTTGTGCTATGTAACCAGGTTTGCTCAATATGTCAGTTACATGCCCCTATATCTCAATCCCTTCTCTCAGTGGTGGGAGTTTAATAGATAAATACCATGTTATTTAATTTCTTATCTTTACACTTGATAATGTGCATTCTTACAGTTTGATATTTCTGAGCTGGAAATGGACTGACCAGAGCAACAATAATGTCCGTTGAATTTTTGTGTATTTAGTTATTGGGCATCAAGGTATTAGCATACTCTACCTGCATTCACCTAACCCAGCATGCTTTGCCATCTACCCTAGAATATCTTCCACACAAGAGAGACTGCAGACCCACGTAAAGCAGGGAGGTCGAACTCTGCCCCACAGGTGTTGATGACCTACAACTCCTAGAATTCTTTGAATGCAACAGATGGCCCTTGAAACATGGACGTTTTAGTTCAACAAATGATAAACATCACTTGAGAAAATGAGCAAAGAGAACATTCTGCCATGTGTTTCTGACATATTGTCTACCGACGTGCTATAATAATTAGAATTTGTGGATATATTGACATAGTTGTGAAATGTACTAACAAATCTCAATTTGATTACTAAAGTTCCACTAGTGCTAAATATAAAAAAGTAGTAATTCCTGTAATTCCTTGGTTATGTCTTGTTTTATTTGCATTTTATACGTACACGTCTCTCTTTACGCTGTTTAATGTTTTGCCTCCTGGACACAGATGGACGTGGTCAGGAAATCCACTGGAGCAAGAAGCTGCGTATTAATTCTAGTGGGCCACATGGGGTATGTTATGCAATAATACAAAATACAACCCAGTCTCTGCAGCAGTTCAGTGATGGTAAACACGTTCTAGAGCCAACGCTGATAATTGTGTCCAGCAGCCGTTACAGTTCACCGTGTGCTCCAAATAGCAGGCGGCTTCTCCCCTCACTGTTTAAAAATAGCTTGCTTTGGCTTATCAAACACGAGACAAGAAAAACACAGAATGAAGCGGCTTTTCAAGGTTTGCAAAACATATTATTGTACTGACACCGCAGTGTACCAGTGGTTTTATTATTTATTTGTAGTGTCAGAATTGTGATGTTATGTAATGGGGTAGGGGGTACAAATAAGTTTAAATATTTTGGGGGTTATTCATTAAACAGAAAATTGCAAAAGAACTAACAAAAGGAAATTGCAATTTTTAGGTAAAGCGGCCAAACTGGAAAATTATTTAACAATGACTATTTGACATTTTGACTTTTGTGCACATTTTGTTCAGATGCCTACAATTCAGATAAAATAATCAAATGTCCCTGGGATTCGTAATTCAGTTGTTTATTAAAGGCAGATCCGGCAGGAGATTCTGCGAATTGGGCATGATGTGCCGCTAGCAGGACATCTAGGGTCCCGTCGCACAGCCTACAGAATCACCCAGAATTTATTTTGGCCCAATTTCAACCAGGCTGTGCGACAATATTGTAGCACGTGCGACACGTCAACGGGTAGGGAAGAGAGGAGACCACCCTACGGCTAGACTTATGTCCATGCCTATTATTGGGGAACCCTTCTCTCGTGTAGCCGTTGACATTGTGGGTCCACTAGCCAGGGCTAGTTCATCCGGGAAGAAATACATTCTTACAGTGGTGGACTACACCACTCGTTACCCAGAAGCAGTAGCCCTGTCTAACATTGAGGCAGAGACAGTGGCTGATACTCTGGTTAAGGTCTTTTCTAGAGTGGGGTTCCCTAACCCAATTCACCGCGGTGCTCACACAGCAGTTGTGGAAGGTGTGCAATATTAAGCCCTTGCTTAGCTTACCCTATCATCCACAAACTAACGGGCTCTGTGAGTGTTTTAATGGTACCCTCAAGCAAATGCTGAGGACATTTACTGATGCTTGCAGAGACTGGGAGCGATTCCTGCCTCATCTACTATTTGCGTACAGAGAGGTACCCCAGTAATCTACTGGGTTCTCTCCTTTCGAGTTGCTCTATGGGAGGAGGGTCCGCTGACCCCTCAATCTCATCAGAGGACACTGGGAGGGAGAGACAGAGCAGGAGGGGACCCCCATAGTACCATATGTCCTGGAACTTCGGGACTGCATGGAGCAGTTGTCTCTGATGGTAAGAGAGAACCTCCAGTCGGCCCAGGGGAGACAGAAGAGATGGTATGATCGGGGTGCCCGACAGCGCATCTTCCAAGTAGGGCAAAAAGTCTTAGTGCTTAAACCTGTGAAGCACAACAAGATGCAAGCATCTTGGCAGGGGCCGTATAAAGTCGTGGCCAAGGTGTGTAACACCACACATATTATTGCCAGCTGTGCAGATGAAAGGATCCAGCGGTCCTTTCATGTGAACATGCTGAAGGAATATCAGGAAAGGCAGGAGGATGTTGCTGCTGTATATGCCCCTGCTACCAATGATCCCGAGAACCTACCTCTCCCTGACTTACTAGAGAGGGAACCCCAGACAGACTCGACGAGCCTTGTACAGCTAGGAGAACTGTTGAGCCCTTTCGGAAAAGGAACAGGCTAAATGGCTGCTATGGGAGAAAATGGTGACCTTTTCTCAGGAACCAGGTTATACCACCCTAGCTTTGCATAAGGTAGAAACCCCCGGACAGGCACCCCTGAGACAACCCCCATACCGTATCCCTGAAGCAGTACGAGAAGGAATGAGAAAGGAGATACAGGAGATGACTCAGTTAGGAGTCATTGAGCCCTCTGACAGCCCTTGGGCTTCGCTTGTAGTCCTGGTATCTAAGAAAGATAGGACCACCTGGTTCTGTGTGGACTACAGACGTCTTAACGAGAAGACCACCACTGACGCCTACCCGATGCCCTGGGTAGACGAGCTATTAGACGCATATCTGACTACCATAGACCTATGTAAGGGATATTGGAAGATTCCCCTGGCCGAGGATGTTATCACCAAGTCGGCATTCGTCACCCCGTTTGGCCTGTACCAGTTCAAGGTCATGCCTTTCGGGATGAAGAATGCCCTGGCTACTTTCCAGCGTATGGTAGATAGACTCCTTGATGGATTCCAGGACTTTGCGTGTGCATTCCTGGATGATATTGCGGTCTACAGTGGGTCTTGGGAGGAGCACTTAACTCATGTAGGGGTGGTTCTGGATAAGATTTGGGCCGCGGGCCTGACTCTAAAGCCAGAGAAGTGCCATCTAGGCATGGCTGAGGTGCAGTACTTGGGACACAGGGTGGGGTGCGGAAACCAGAGCCAGCCAAGGTGGAGGCAGTAGCGAACTGGCCCACGCCCCGCACCAAGACCCAGGTACTGGCCTTCTTAGGGATGGCAGGGTATGCTCTGCAGTTTTGAAAGCACTGCAGATTTAAAAGCACCGCATATTCAAATGCACCGCAATTTGAAAGCACCGCATATTCAAATGCACCGCAATTTGAAAGCACCGCAGATTTAAATGCACCGCAGATTTAAATGCACCGCTGTTTGAAAGCACCGCAGATTCAAATGCACCGCAGTTTGAAAGCACCGCAGATTCAAATGCACCGCAGTTTGAAAGCACCGCAGATTCAAATGCACCGCAGTTTGAAAGCACCGCAGATTCAAATGCACCGCAGTTTGAAAGCACAGCAGATTAAAATGCACCACAGTTTCAAATGCACTGAAAATTCAAATGCACTGCAGTCTAAAAGCACTGCAGTTTCAAATGCACTGAAGATGTAAATGCACCGCAGTCTGAAAGCACTGTAGTTTCAAATGCACTGAAGATTTAAATGCACTGCAGATGTAAATGCACCGCAGTCTGAAAGCACAGCAGATTCAAATGCACCGCAGTCTGAAAGCACCGCAGTTTCAAATGCACCGCAGTCTGAAAGCACTGCAGTTTCAAATGCACTGCAGATGTAAATGCACCGCAGTCTGAAAGTACCGTAGTTTCAAATGCACCGCAGATGTAAATGCACCGCAGATGTAAATGCACCACAGTTTTACATGCAAGTTTTAAATGCACAACAGTTTAAATGCTTCCCAGTATAAAAGCACAACTGCATAATGTACCACAATGTAAAGATATTATAGCATAAGGCACAGCTGTATAATGCACTAGTTTAACCCCTTAAGCACACATGTGTGACATGTCATGATTCCCTTTTATTCCAGAAGTAAAGCTTAAATGCATCACAGCATAAAAGCACAACTGCATAATGTACCACAGTATAAAGGCACCCTAAAATAATAATAAAGTAATGAAGAAAAAACATACATGTCAGTAAGTAAATGGAGCAAATTGCTCACATCCTAAGGGCTGTAGGAAAGGGAAAAGACTGTGGACCTTAGGGATGGAGCCTCCTTTTAAAGCCTTGGTGTTTTTCCTGTCCTATCGGCTGCAAGGGGTGGAGCTAACCCATGTTGTATATGCTGCCATGATTAGCCAGGAAATAAACACTGGCTCTGTATTCAGGCTTGTATGCTTTTAATGCAGCATCACACCTGCATTCCACGATATGTTGGATCTCAAAGATAAAACATAGAGAGAGGAGAACAAATGTGCAGTCTGTCTCAAATGGTGCAGTGGTGAGAATAAGTAAAGTGCTCACCTTTTTCAGAGCCCTGTATCCTGGCTCTGAGGAATAGTAGCTATGTGCCAATATTTGTGGGGATGGCACTACCCCTAAGTAGCTTCAGTAGGCTCCAAAGGACTATTTTAAAATAATTAGATTTTATTACAATATACAAAAATAACATATAAAATACTTAGGTATAAAAAGTCCTGGATAAGCCGAAACGTATTTCACTTTTGTAGAGCTTCCTCAGTCAGCTGACTGAGGAAACTGGCTGTCGCTGGAATCCTAATGCACTCTTCATCTTTCCGGCCTTGTGCATAAGAGCATTTCTTGGACGCTCCCATCCTACCTGAGTAGAATGCTCTCCCCGGGTGTTTCCACCTGCTATAACCTCCGATCCAGTACTAGCACGATATTTAGCATACCGCAATACAAAAATAAAGTGGCTTGATCCTCATTTTCCTACAGAGCACTGCAATTATGGAATAACCTCAGGGACACAGTCAAAGCTTCATTCAATCTAAAATCTTTTAAGAGTTCTATGGTAATATACCTCATCACAGAATACACCTGTCATGTATTAAATTTATATATGTGTATATATATAGTTTGTATATTGTATTTTTGTAATATTGTATCCTATTGTAACAATGCAATGTTTTGTGGACAAAGACCCAGGACAAAAACAAAAGAAATCTCAATGTATCCATCCTGGTAAAATATTTTATAAATAAATAATCCACACCCAAACTAATAAACTATTTTCCTGACTAATCCATTTGTTCCATTGTCAATTAAATGGGGGTTGTTGCAAATGAATTGGTTTGTTTATGGTTAATAAAAAAAAATGTGTAAGTTTACTTACAAAAGCTTATTGCAGCCAGGCATCTGATTCCAACCCCCGTTGCCCCCCAAATGTTACTAACTTCAACTCCCATTAATCTTTTGCCATCTGTTGCATTTACAAAATTCCAGGAGTTGTAGATCATGAACATCTGGGTGAGCAGAGTTTATGATTCCTGCTTTATTGTATAGTACTTTCCATGACAGCAAAACATATGTGTTTCTTTTTTAGGGTGGAGAGCTTGGAATAGGTTAATGTTTCAATGCTTCTTGCTATGTATTTTCCATAAATCCCAATTTAACGAGCACCAAAAGTGTGGTTTTACCCGGTAGTCCAATTATTGGTGTGCATGTCAAAACCATGAATCATTTTGAGGATGCCACATAACATCAGCTTGTTCCCCTCGGCTTAACCCCTTAAGGACACAACTTCTGGAATAAAACGGAATCATGACGGAATGTTTCCGTCATGTGTCCTTAAGGGGTTAAACATGACTGCCTGCCCCTGCACATCCAGGGCGTTTATATCACAAGAACAGCCCTGACATGTATTATGTGTGGTTAGTTAAACATCATGGGTAACCTAGCTACAACTGTTTAATTGCCAATTCTTAGCCATCACTGCCTCTTGATACTGGAACGTTCACAGCCCATTTACATTAAAGGGTTAACATGCTCAAT